CTTTTGCACAAGTTTGCGTCGAAAAAGCAAGTGCTCAAGCCGTCTTGGCACCAACAATGCTGAGTCTGCTGCTGCCTGTTGCGGCGGGTTGCACGCTCGGAGGCCCGCCGTGCAACCTGGATGTAAACTGACCCTCAGCACGTGGCTTCCTTGCACGAGAGCGGTCCTCAACCGCATCGTCAGCGCTCACCTTGAAGCCATTCGGCTGCGGGTATCTTCGGACCCTGAGTGCCGCCAAGATACAGGCACCGAGTCCGAAGGCCAGTTCGTGGATCGCACTGAGACAGCCTTCGACCCGCGGCTCTGAGCATACACAACAAAGCGAAAAGGAAGGACCGGAGTTGTGCCTCCTTGACGACGGAAGGCGGAGACGGCCGCTGACTCAACCCCTCGACAGGAGACGCTGAGACCTCTACCTACCCGCTAACCCTTAGCTGTGCCCCACATTGTGCAGGTGACCCACCTGTCTCCTCGCGGCATCCAGGCACTCCGAACCATCCAAGATGAGCCTTCGGAGAAGCGAGCTACCACTCCCTACCAGCGCTTTTCCCCCAGATCTGACCTCGGCGAGGAAGTCACCATGGATCATACCATGACATTCTCGACAGAACACGGGACATGCCCATGCTCGAAGCTTACCGCAAAGATTCTACTGCGCAGGCTAGCTGGGCTGTCGATGTCAGCATGTGTGGCTGTCGGCTGTCAGAATGCCTCCCTACGATAATGCAGAGTTCCCTAGCTCGCATTGATGATCCAAGCCGCGCTGCGATGCAATATGAACAGCACACGCTCTCGCAACAAGCGATGAATGTAGATTGATAGACAGAGTGATAGATACGATATGTTCTGACTGCTCTCCAGTTCTTCAATCAGCAAACATGAAGGCACACCTTTGCAGGAAGTTCGGCCTCAGTGCAGGATCAAGCTTCCACAAGTTTCGGCGAGAATGCAAAGCCCTCTCTAGTCATCTCCCGGGAACATGCTCTGTGCATCTGCTGCTTAAAAGACGAACCCTTAAGGCAGCAGGCGCATCTGACATGAAGACGGGATTTGCCAACGGCGCATCCAAGACGGCCTGAGCTGGAGCTCCGAAATCTTTGGGCCCCTGGGCCCGCACTGGCCTCTGTTTAAGCAGGGCCCATGTGCACGCCTTTGTGGTTGACGCCGGTGAATCATGCATTCGGTTAAGGCATGTGGATACATGGTGGCTTCTTGGGAGTTGACAACATTGGCGGGAAACCACATGGAGGATGAGGAAACATACTGTAAGAAAACATCAAGCATTCTAAAAACTGTAAGAGCATTCCCACACACAGTTCACTCGAAGTCTGCATGCGCACACTGGAAAGTGATACTAAGGGCACGGATTTTTCTAGGAGGCCATGTCAAGAATAAAATTCTTTTCAGATAGCAAACGACCAAAAGACAGCAACTGCGACAGGCACTCCAGGCGGCCAGAAGAAGGCAACTGGGCCAGGCTCTAACAACTTTGTGCTCGCAAACAGATGACACTAAACTGAGCTTGTGTTGCTCGGAAACTAAAACTTTCTCGAAGTTTGTGTTTCTTCGCCCAAGGAGTTCCTGACCCAAAAATGCAAACGGTCCTGAAAGGATCTCAAAACCATAACAAGTAAATTGCCCTGGTGCCACGTATTTCCACGGACCGGGCCCTGTACTTTGGCACTTGAGCAGGAGCAAAAGACAATCTGGGAAAAGTCATGATAAAGCAAGAAAATGTACCAACGTTGACGCAGATTGGAGATGGTACTAAAACTTAGGAGACAAGTTGAAAAGCAATCAAGCAAACACACATATTGAAAAACAAAAAAGAAAAAAAAACATGGTCTGCATTGTTTTGGATTGTTGTTTTGCTTTAAAGAAGAACTATCTGGGGAAGGAAACGCGTTGCCGATGGTTTTTCGACCTCTCCCTCGTGGCACGAAAGTCTGGGCCTGGAGTACCTGCATGGCCCCCGGCAGCACCCGCATGTCATAGCATAATCCTACACAATTTTAGGGTTTAGGGCTTAGTTTTTAGGGCGTTCCAGCCAAGTATCTTTGGGCGTGGTGTGGTGAGGGTGTCTGGTGATGAGGGTGCACTGATGACGGTGCCGTAGGTACGTTGGGTGCGTGGGTGTGGATGTGTGATGGAATTGGCTTACACAGCAACGGTATGTTTTCACGGAGTCGTTAGAAGCCAAGCAGCATGCGACGTGGAAATAAGCCGGAATGTTTCAAACTACATTTCGAATGATGCTTCCAGAGCCAACAACCCCTCTCTTGACAACGATCCTGATATTTAGTAAAGAGACAACGAGATTTCAAAAGAAACTGGTACACTGGCCCTCCGGAAGGTCGGTTGGACAGTCTGTGGGGAAGTGGGTATGTATTGGGAGAATGACAAGTCATGCCATGTGCGTGGACGTGTCTTGCAGATACTGCCATGTCCCGCCTGTTCTGGAAGGTGTCTTGGACGTGCTGGATGCAAGGGCATGTGACACAAATGCTGATGATGATGCTGTGTTTGAAGCTGGTGTGTTGCCATCACTGCCATCGCGCCTGGAACCTCCATCCCCTTCTGTATCCACGTTTTGATGCTTCTCCTCTAGGTCCAAACGACACGCTGGGATGCATCGCGGGCTCTCACTCCGGGGAGGGGGGTAGCCTCCCTACACAGTGCCAAGCCTCACCTTCCTCCCTTCCTGGAAACCAACACCGCACACTGGAGAATCCAATCAGTACTGTGCACACACCGTTCACCACATCGACCCGATCTGCACGGGGTGAAGGTCAGTCGGCTGTGCTTCGTCACCGAGGCTCGCGCGGTACATCTCGGAGACGAGTCCCCATTGCCCATCCCCCTGCACAGCAGAGGATACTTCAAACTCCGGCACGGAGTGCACTTCTCAAGCGGTTCCAGGCTGGGGTCGGCTCGTCTTCGCAAGGGCCGACCCTTCGGAGTGTCCTGCAGGACATAAACCTCATGCCTTCGGATGGGAGACGTCCGGTGGCCCTAGCTGCCAGGCCTTGCGCAGCTGCGTTCGGGGCATCATCCTGAAACCGTCTAGCAGCCTAACATGGCGAACACCTGGGAAATGTCGGCTACAGGCCTGCCCGTCTGCTTCAGCCATGGTCGCATTGTCGGGTCGTCGTGGCATTCACAGTCATACCCTATTTTCTTCCCGTGCGCCCGTGCTTGGTCGAAGGCTCCTTGGGCCTCAAATGCCTCCTTCTCTGAAGTTCTGGTTGGTGTGGTGCGTGCGCGCACGGCTTTTATAGACAGGTTGGCTGACGGACCTGAAGATAAAGCTAGCCAAGCATCTAAGCTTGAGGGAGCGGCAGGGTACAAAATCACAACCACGTGGTAATGGCTGCAGTCTGAATCTTCGAGGCGCACCGACGTCCAAGACTCTGGAACCACTTGGCCTTCACGCCGTCGCTCTTCCCCTGCCCAGAGTACATAAACCAGAGCAGGCCAGCACCCTGGCCACTCGACGAAAGTCAAGTCACAGCCTTTTTCCTAAAGTGCCTGCAGAGAGAATCGAGCTTTTCAGGCTACTGCAAGCGATCCGAGAAGAGATGCACATGCCCACAGCTCCGGCAGCACTTTAAAAGTTCCAGAGCAGCGCGTGATCAGGCCATCATCGCGGCCAGGTGCATTAGCATAAATGTCTGGTGTCGAAACACGTCTTTCAGAGACGGGAATTGCTCAGAGCTCAGCCGAAACAGAGTGCTGGTGCAGCTCCTCCGATATCTCACTTTTTTCCAACCTCGAGTTTCAGCAAGAATTGGATTGGGGCCGCGCGATGCTGCAAGGTGCGCATGTAGGATCCGGACCATTGAAGAAACTTTGTAAAGTTGTCATAAAAAGGCTGCCGAGCAATAAGTTCAAGGTTGTTGTGCCCGCCGTTCTCCACGAGATAGGGCGGGTACGCGATTCCCTGGCACAGAACAGCACTCGTTCGTGCCTTCGGGCTTACCAGCTCGGTTGTCAGCACAATGCAATCCTGCACCTACATCTCCGAGCCTCGCGGCAGTTTCGAACCAAATCCTCCGCATGAGACGATGGAATGATCTCGTCCTGCATGATCTCGGCAACATGTCCAAACTTCCAACAAGGGGGGGCGATCAGAACTCCGTACTCCTGCGTCCCATGTACCTAGGCCCGGATGCGAATGCGGCGACTGAGAGCAAGGCATCAAAGATGCTATTTGCTGGGGGCCCCGACGATGTACACAGGGCATTTCACCTGACCTGAGCCGAAGCATCGGCGGAAACCGAACGCTGATGTGAGACAGCACTGGAAGTACGACTTGGGTTCGGCCAAGCCACCTATTCTGTCCACATTGGGAAACATGTCGCCGGGCAGCGTGAAACTCAGGGCACCACATCACACAGGGAAGAATGACTGACTAACAGAAGAGCATGAGGCTGGCCCCCACCTGGAGGAAAATGCCACCCGGTAGATTGAGAGCAGGGGACTCTGGAGCACAATGGCTCTTACGGCAGTCCTGTGAGTCTCAGCGTGGGTTTAACTTCCCTTGAGATTGGTCAGCAGTGTCCTTGTTGCCAGATGGATCGATGGACCCGACCCGATTGATCTTCCATACACCACAATCTCAGGACATTGGTCTCTGAAACCACTGGGCCGGAAGCATGCACGCGATCTGGGCTCCTTGCCTCACTCCACGGCGTACCAACGATGTCGCGGAGGTACTTGAAGGCCGCCTGCTTCCGAGAAACACACGACATGCCACCGACAGAACATGTCACCCCAAGTGGCAGCAGAGACTCACCTCGATGTCAGCATACAGAGCTTGCTCCGATGGCTTGCCTGAAGACAGACTTCCCCACATCGAAAAAGAGGCCGTGGCGTGGCACAAGTGCCTGAGCTCATCCCGTATCCAGTGTAATCGTACGCGAAGACATTCACATCCTCAGACCGTAAGGCAGTACTGCAACTTCACGCATCACATCACAGCACCACACGGCTACATGCCAGCGGTTATGTAGCTCAGCGTCCAATATGTGAGAAACCTCCCGGAAATACTGGATGATCATCCCCAAGTCCTGGCCAACACAAGAGCCAATGCTTCCAGTTCCGTTCACGGCCAGCCTCCGCGTTGCCGTGGCTAAACAGAAGCGTGAACTTGGCATCCCTGACATTCCACTTCGAAAGAGGAAGGCAAGTCATGAGTCAAACGAGTCAAACTAGCACCCCCACCTGTCAATAAAGAAGGCAGGGATCACTTCGTGCTCCGAAGTGCTGAGCCAGATGAGATTTGGATCTCGACTGTAGCTAGGCTGCCAGGGATCACAAGCAAGGCAGTCGCAAGAGTCACAACCAGACTGCTGAGATCTTACACCTGCACCTGTGTTTTGCAACTTGTGGCCTGCGGCGGCTGAAACACTATGGTCGTTATCGCCGAACCCATGGCGCTGCGAGGGCGGAAGCTTCTGCAATGATTCCAATGATTCTGGTTAAGATGGTAGGCTGCTTGATAAGTGAGAAACCGTAAACCTAGCGACACAGTCGCCCAGCAAGACTGCATAACTTGACGGCTCTGGTCATTCTGCTAAGGCTGTGAGTGGTGCATCATGAGAGGAGCATCGACATCATGGAAGCAACCGAATCCTGTCTGGACAACAGCTTCTGGTTTGTTGCCTTGATCAGCCAAGCACTGAAGCGCCCCTTGCGGGTGTAGCGGCAGTCGGCTGCTGTGGCAGAAGCCTTGCAAAGCAACCACGGGACAGCTGTCATCAGACAGCGACACCAGGATCAAAAGGCTACAAACTGGCCTTCCGCTGTGAAGCTGACGGAACTCCATGCATCGAAGTCTTCGTCCGCTCGTGTAAGCTTTCACCTTCAGTAAATAGGGCCATTCATGGCCAGAAGAACACCCAAATCTTCACAACCACTCTCACATGAAATGGTGCGTCAATGCACTGAGCGCGGACACTCAATCAACGTTGTGCTGACAAAGCCGCCAGATTTCCTTGCACTTTCACAGGGCAATTCTCACAATAAGCCAAAGCATGCAGAACTATCGATTCTGCATCATGTCACCGTACAATCCAATTGGTATCTCGGTTTGACTCGGGTTCCTAACACTGTCAATAGAGTCCAAAGCATTCCTTCGTTCCGCTTACATGTAGGAATGTAGGGTTGGCAGGATACTCGAACCGCCTGCCTGTCAGCACTTATCCACCGACCTGCGCAAATGCTGTTGCAACCGGGGCACTGCAGCTTGGCCACACATGAGAACCGTCTCTTGAACCACCACGTCGCTGGGCACCGCCACGTTCGCAACAGTGGGAAGCCGAGCACGCACATTGCTCAAACAAGTCAAGTCGGTGCTGACTTGGGTCTGTGATCGATGCTTTTCCGAGAGCATTTGCGAAACATCACCATTCCACTGCATTCATTCCATTCTGTTCACCTCCATCGCGCTCCATTCCTTCGTTTCTCAATTTTGTTTTGTGTGGATGGACCTCAAGGCAGCTGCCGCAACTCGGTTCGATGCATTTGTTGGACCTTACCCACAAAAAGTTCTGAAATGACAGGAATGACAAGTTTCAGGTGGGTCAAAAAAAAAAATAATTGATTAATTAATTAATTAGAAGTTGCCGACCGAAACGGTCACTTCT